CCTTGTAGGGTTCTTGAGAGGCTTAAGCCAGTGAACAGGCAAGAAGTACCGGGCTTAGCACACAGGGGGCGCTGCATAAGCTGTGGTGAGTGCCATCACAGGTCCCCTGTCCCGCAGGGCTGGCCCCCAGCAAGGCCTCCGACGGCAAGGCCTACACCTCCATCCTTTATGGCAATGGCCCAGGCTTCGCGCTCAGCGGGGGCTCCCGGCCGGATGTCAACGAGAGCGAGAGCAGTGAGTGCGGCGGGGCTGCGGTCTGGGTGGACCACTGTGGGGAACTCGCGGGAGGGGGAGGCGCCGGCCCCGCCCGCCCTAAGCCCCACTCTCCGTCCAGTGAGCGCCACGTACAGGCAGCAGGCAGCTGTGCCCCTGTCGTCGGAGACCCACGGCGGCGAGGACGTGGCGGTGTTCGCGCGCGGCCCGCAGGCGCACCTGGTGCACGGCGTGCAGGAGCAGACCTTCGTGGCGCACGTCATGGCCTTCGCCGCCTGCCTGGAGCCCTACACGGCCTGTGACCTGTCGCCCCCCGCCACCCCCACCGAAAGCGCGAATCCGGGCTCACCCAGAGCGCGAATCGCGGGCCCACCGAGGCCGGGCATGGTGCCGGCGCTGCCGCTGCTGGTGTCCGCCACCCACTGACCGCCCCACTCACACTGTCGCTGGGACTCTTGATCCCCCAGCCCGCGCCCACGAGCCTCCAGCCCCAGGACCTGCCCAGAGCTTCCACCCCGGAGCCCACCGCCTGACCTTACCCTGCTGACAAGAAACCCGCCTCAACCCGCGCAGCCCTGGAGGCTGAGGCGGCGGCTTTCTTGCGTCGGCCGGGGGCCTCCCTGCTGTCCTCCACTCCCTGGCCCCAACCTCGGCGGCCAGGAAAAGCTTCCGTTGCTCTTTGGGATCTGAGACCTCGGGCACCTGGAAGCTTCGGAGAGGGGTGGCTTCTTGTCACCCTGCATCTGGCCTGGACCACCTTGCTGGCCAAGGAGGCTGCTCTGGCCAGGATGCCGTGTGTGTGTGTGTGTGTGTGTGTGTGTGTGTGTGTGTGTGTGTGTGTTGACACAAGCCCTGGGCTGCCCCTCCTAGGGGGCCAGCGGTACCACTAAACAGAGAGGAGACAGCGACTCAGAAAGGAGAGGAGACTTGTGCCCAGTCACTCAGCTGCTGCGATGGTCACTGCCCCCCCATGCCCATTCCAGACTGGAGATCCAAGGAGCATCTGGAGAAGCAGTGGGGACAGGCAGGCAGCCCTTGACCTTCTCTGCGGCCATCTGGGCGCTGGGCACAGATCTGTGAACTCAGGAGCTTCCCTGCCCTCCCAGAGCCTCTGATCTTCTGAGAGGGACCAAGCAATAATCAAATAAGCTATTCTACACTGTAATGCCAGTGATATGTTCTAGAAGAAAAGTCATTCAGTTGTGGGGGTACAGAGTGTGTGTCTGTGAGTGAGGGGATGGGGCAGATAACTCAGATCAGGAGGTCAGGGAGGGGCAGCCTGGGAAGCAGACAGTTGAGCAAAGAGTGAAGGAAGTGAGGGCAGACAATGCAGAAGGAACAGCCATGCAAGGGCCCTGAGGCAGCAATCAACACCTGCTGTTTCAGGCCAGTAGCTGGATCAGAGGTGGACAGGGTACAGGAGGCAAACGTGAGGGATAAGGAGGGGTGGGAGCAGACGGGGGACAGAGCTTGGACTTTTCCAGAGTGGAATGTGATGAGAAGGCTTTGAGCAGGGGCCTGACATGACCTGACTCTTGGAAAATATCACTCTGGCCACTGTGTGGAGAAGAGTCTATTCTGTTGTGATTTGATCGACAGAGGGGGCAGAGGTGGGAGCTGGGAAACCAGGGGGCGGGTGCAGACACCACACATTTCTGACCTCCATCCGGAAACATTCTGGAACACCCACTCCAGTATAGCTACACTCATTGAAGATCTCACCCATCCCAAAGGGAACATTTAAAAGAACTCTAGGAGGGTGAAATCAACCACATTTCTCAATAAATTTTTTCAAAGTTACCGATTTATTTCTACAATTACAAAGGTGCAAAAAAGTACTTGTTCTCACTAGAAATATTAATATGATTGAGTTTGCTTTCTTAATCACTAAAATCTTGATTTAACCCAAAAAATTGACTTAACACCAATCTGAAGGCCTGGCTCTCAGGGATTTTATTTCAATTCTGGATTTTAGTGGCCATCACAAAACTATGGGAGCTGATGGAAGAAGGGCATCATTAGCTGGTGGATAAACCATCATCCTCGTTATTAACTCCGTCCACCAATTACGCAAAGGCTTTTGTATAATCCAGCTGCTACACTTCTGTCTTCCTTGTTGTCAGTTAGTTGCTCTTACAAACCAATGGGAAGGTGCCACTTGTTTACGTTTCATAAATGGGTTCAAAACCCAAGGAAATGCTACGTTTTAAACTCTACAGGTTTTAAAAACAGATGATTCTGGAATTAGTGGTGATGGGTGCACAACTTGGAAAATTCTAAAAATCGCATAATTGTACACACTAAAAGGGTGAATTTTATGGTATGTAAATTATATCTAAATTTCAAAAAGCACAGTTTTTGCTCCCAAGTTTTTCTTCGCATTTTATTTATTTATTTATTTATTTTTATTTTTTTTGTGAGGAAGATTGGCCCTGAGCTAACATCCATGCTAATCCTCCTCTTTTTGCTGAGGCAGACTGGCTCTGAGCTAACATCTATTGCCAATCCTCCTCCTTTTTTCCCCCCCAAAGCCCCAGTAGATAGTTGCATGTCATAGCTGCACATCCTTCTAGTTGCTGTATGTGGGACGCGGCCTCAGCATGGCCGGAGAAGCGGTGCGTCGGTGCACGCCCGGGATCCAAACCCGGGCCGCCAGCAGCGGAGTGCGCGCACTTAACCACTAAGACACAGGGCCGGCCACCCAAGTTTTTCTAAAGTGTGTAGGTATGAGGGGTTTTATCAAACACATTGTTGGCTACAAAATCCAGTGTTCATGGAAACATTTTCAAACATCTGTTTTAACATCTTTCCTTTGAAGGGGCTGATGCATGAAAAGGCATTTATTTTTCCAAGGTTTTTATTGGGAGCCAATGAATGACCGCTCTTGTCACCTTAAGAACTGTCAGCACCTTGGTATTTAAGAAGGAGGGGAAGTTAGGAAGAAAGAGAGGGAAGGAGGACTCAGGACAGCCCTGAAATACTTCCCATAAAGACGACTCCTTCTGTGTGGTCTGGAGAGTTTTCATGGTCCCACCCAATCTTATTACCAAGCATCATAAAGCATCTACTCTACTAGTGCGATCTTGGTTTTATAGGGTTAACACCACCAATGGCTCCTATAGCATTTTGTGTGCCCTCGAGGCTTCTAGTTCTTTCCTGCAATGGTTTGACTGTGGATGGGCCAATGAGTGAGTTTTGCGGCTGTTACTATCTCTGCACCTTTTCCTCATCCAGGATCCTTTAAAAAATATCCCTTCTGAGTAGTCGTTCCATCAATGGGTGCACTGACACTGTTTTCCCCACATGACATTGTTTTTATGAAACAAGGCATTTACTGTTGGGAATATATCTTCTCTGCTGTATCTTTCCTTTAAAGGCTCTCTCTCTCTTTCTCTCTCCCTCTCTCTCCCTCTCTCTCTCTCTCTCACACACACACACACAAAGTGGTTTGTGTGTTCCATCATTGGAAGAGAATCCAGCAAATACCTTAAGCTGAGATGTGCTAGAACATCTGTACTTTTAGCCACTGTCTAGCCAACCTCCCACAGTGGGCAATTTGCTCGAACACTTCCTTCCAATCTACGGCAGGGTTTTCTCTACATCTTCCAACAGTATTTGCTGACAAAGAAATGCCTCTCGGTGTGTCGACAGATCATTCTGTTCATTGTTTCTGCCATTTTTACTGCAGCAGAAAGAAGTGTTTGCCTTGTGGTAGGTGTTTTCTGTCTTATGCAATCATGCAAAAATACTTTAAAAGAGGTTTCTAAATATTTATTGTTGCTTAGGGAAATATCGAAAGGTACTGGCTTGAACAGCACATAACTTAACCATTGCTGGGAAAAAATTGCAGGAGTTTGCCTTCATGTTCTGAAAGCTTAGTGTTTTTTTTTTGTTTTTTTTTTATTCTTTTTTTTTTTTAATTTTTTGTTTATTGCAGTAACATTGGTTTATAACATTGTAATGAAAGCTTAGTTTTGAAATGCCTTGCTACCCATGAGGATTTGCTGCTGTTATCGACTGACAGGGTGGCGGCACTTCGCACAACTTAGTTTGGCTATTTTTTTATATTTGGGGCTAACATCCTGACAGGTCTGTCCCGTGGGTGACGACGAGCATTATCAGAAGGGGCTTAGTGTTGGAGCTGCCACCTCTGTGGTTCTTCACCTGGGTGTGGAGTATTGGTATTATTTGCTGTTTCTGTACAGGAATCTTTCATAAGCACTTGATTAATCGTTTTGGAGGATTACTTTGTTTAAAACTAGATCATATAACCCGTAAATCCACTTAGCCAGACACACTAAACTCTAACACATCACAATCCACGGAAAGGGAGAGAATGGGGGCAGGGAGGATGTGCCAACCTCTTGCCTGGGGCACCACATTCTCCTCCCCTAGGTGGGGTGGGTGCCTGGCTGATAGGGTGAAGGCACCAGCATGGAGCTCCATTTTAAATATGAACAGCGCTGATTGCTGCCTTAGGGTGCCCCCTGCCTAGGAACGTAGCAAGGCTGCAAAGGAGAAAAAGCATAGGAGAGCCCAGCTCTCTACACAGTAGCACTCAGAAGGCCCAAGTCCCTGGAACCAAACGCCCTGAGATCCAGATGGGGACCAGGCGTCCCTGGGCCCTGACGAGACTCTCAGCCATAACAACTGCCTGTGACCCTGCGTGGGTTACTCCCAGCAGAGCTCACACAGGGGCCTGGAGGACACCACAGGTCCAGTCCCAGCCAGACCCGGAGCCCCCTGCTCATGGAGCCCCCTTGAGCCCCTGTCCCTGCACCAAGCCCAGCATGCTCAGGTGGCTGACACAGGCAGCATCATGATGGGTGAAAGCAGGCAGCTGCCTTGCAGCCCCCTGGGACGACGCGATGCCACACGTGCCCTTGTCCCGACTTTGGGGCTGATGTTACCATTTGATGCCATCAGCCCCCCTGGTTCCAGAAACAGGTGTCCCCACCTGGTCAGCCTCTGCGTGACAGGCCTTTGCCCCTTCCATGAAGCGTCCCCAAATACCTGCCTCCCGGTGGGCAGAACCTCCAGAAGCCTGCGGGGAGCTGGCCAGTGTTATAAATTGCACCCCCTGATCTAAGGGGGCCCAGGGCCTGCTTACTCCAGCTGATCAGAGCTTCAGGGTGTGCTCCCAGTGCACACAGGCTGCAGCCCGGCAACGAGCAGCCCGAGTTCCCCTTGATGCGTCACCTTGCCACTGAGGATGCCCAGTCTGTGCCAATGCGCTTGGCTTGGGGCCCAGGTACCATGCTCCTGAGCTGCCCCTCAGGGAGGAAACAGCTGCCCCCTGTCCCAAACAGTAAGCCCAGAGTCTGCTTTCAACGGGGAGGCGTCCAGGCCCTGGTGTCCTTTTCTGGCCCTTTCTGTGCTCACCAGATTTGCAAGTTCCTCATTATCAGCCAGCATGCCCCACCCCA